TACAGAGTGACGGCGGGTGTTTGCGTATATATCCGACCCAAATGTCGCAAAACGTGCCGTACGTAGACGTGGAGCCCGTGAGAGACCGTTTGGTGCTATTCTGGTCCGACCGGCGAAACCTACACGAAGTGATGCCAACAAACAAATACCGGTTTGCGGTCACCGTCTGGTACTTCGACGACGAAGAGAGACGACATTACAAACACACCAATCGATTGCACAATAATTTATGATCAAAAACCAGTGTTTGTGTGAAAGAAACAGATAATGTGTTTATTTATGACAATTTTGTAATGGATTTTATTTAAGAATAATATTATTCAACGTATATTTCTTGTGTAATCGCATGTGAATAACATTTAATACAATTTTTTGTAAACAAAATAATATATACGATAAGAGAGAAAGTGTGATATAATATATACACGTATTTATAAATACATGACAATTATTGTATTAATTTTGATATCGATGCTAATGTCGGTCCACTCGTATTGTTGTTATCGCTCTCGGGATCTGACGTAGAGTGCGATGAATGCCATTAGGCGGAAGACAAGGGCCAGAATTACCATCAATATTAGGTTTCGTAACAAATCATTTTCATCGAAACTCAATGAATGGATAACTTCCAGACCATCGCTAATACACTTGATAGGCATGTATTGACCGGCCGTACCGTTAATGGCCGGAGGAGTCGACGGGAATGCCGGGCAATCGGTGAGCTTCAGGTCTCGCCACTGATTGATGATCATTGAGGAGAAGCCGTAGTAAACCCATGAGAGATACTTAACCCAAGACAACCACGCGGCAGTTGTACTGCAATTCATTATTAAATTTAGTTCAATTCAAACATTAGTTAAGTTTTATTATTGTTATTACTCGGCATTGAGAAAGAATCCGCCAAACAATACCATCGGTATGAGTAGTGGCGGACCCAAAGCCAGGGCAACGTCTGCCGATGAGGTCAGACACGATAAGAGATATCCTTTTGTTTATATTGTTATTACTCGGCATTGAGAAAGAATCCGCCAAACAATACCATCGGTATGAGTAGTGGCGGACCCAAAGCCAGGGCAACGTCTGCCGATGAGGTCAGACACGATAAGAGATATCCTTTTGTTTATAATAATATTTGCGATAAAACTGTTAACGCAATAGTTTTTAATGTCTTATAATTACCGAAAGAGACGGCACATGAAGTGACGAGAATAACGATTAATATAGCCATCAAAAAGGCGCTGATTTCTGGATTAAAGCCAACCATATAGTAGTAAATGCCGACAAATAACATGGGAACAAACAAAATGATTGGCAACTATTGGAGCAAAAAATTATTTTATTTAAATAGCAATTAAATTGTTTATAAAACTCATACATCTGTCAGCGATTTGGCCAGGAAATAGACGTTCACTCTATACATGCCGTTGTGGTGTTCGCGAAGAAATAGCGGATATTCCGGACAGAATGTCTGTAAGGGAACAGAATTTACAGAATATTCTGTGAGTTTATAAAATGATAATTGGTTTTTGTCGTATACATTGATGACAGCCATTGTGCTTTGAAACGACATGTTTATGACCAACATGAAGAGAGCGCCGTTGATATTCATCACCGACTTCTGGTCCAACTTCTGGCCCCAGAAGACAATCCCCAAAATCACGGCTATCACCTAAACACACGGTTAAATCCCAAAATAATTGACCATAACTTTTTGAACAATCAAATTTCATACGTACCAGAGTTTGCAAGAAGGTAACCTGGGTAGCAGCCGGATCCCTCACCACTACAAGCATACACCGCCACAACAGTGTCCGTAACTGTTGGCAATACGAGGCCCGATATTCGAGAGGTTTTAAACCATTATCGGCGAATGATTTAGCCTTTAATCCAGTGGATGAGTCCACTCGGCCGGGGGTGGAGGACGTCGACGCGTCCTTACGATCGCCATTCTCTCCCAATTGTTCGCCGTTTTTAGTATAATTATCACAAATCTCCTAATGTTTTAATTAAAAATTACAAATTATAGGTATTTAAGAGATTTTTCTACTATACCTTGATTTTGACTTTGCATTCATCCTCACGGCCCGGAGTAACGGCTATAAAGACATATATAAATGTAATTGCGATTAAAATAAAGTTTTAATTTTTGCACAAATTCACTACCGAGTTGTTCAATGTAAAAATCAGCCGGGTTGTAATTCGTGGGACATATCTATGAATTAAAATAATGAAACATAATTTATAATTAATTCAATGTTTAAAATAAATTTCAATAACAATACATATCCTAACGATGAAAACGTATTCATGGCTTCGTCTATAGAAATACAAAATTTAATTAAAAATGCATTAAAACGCCAAACACTGACACACTTTACCAATAGTTCCCATATAAGCCACTCTTCCGTCGGCTATCAGTAAAAGTCGTTCAAAGAGTTTGAAGGTCTGAGACGAGGGCTGATGTATTGTGCAGATAATGGTCCGACCCTTTGCCGCCATTGCTTTCATTGTCTGCACAATATTTGCGGCCATCATTGAGTCCAAACCACTCGTCGGCTCATCACTAAAACAGACAATTGTTAGTAAATTGTGGCTAAAGTATAACCAGTCTATAAGTCTTACCAAAACAGAATCGCGGGATTTGTCATTAACTGAAAGTTAAAAACACAAACAATAGTTTAATATTTGTAGTGAAATAGATATACAGGTGCCTCACCTCATATTGTGCAGATAATGGTCCGACCCTTTGCCGCCATTGCTTTCATTGTCTGCACAATATTTGCGGCCATCATTGAGTCCAAACCACTCGTCGGCTCATCACTAAAACAGACAATTGTTAGTAAATTGTAACTAAAGTATAACCAGTCTATAAGTCTTACCAAAACAGAATCGCGGGATTTGTCATTAACTGAAAGTTAAAAACACAAACAATAGTTTAATATTTGTAGTGAAATAGATATACAGGTGCCTCACCTCAGAAGCAAAGGCAAGTCTCTTGGACTGACCACCAGATATACCCTTAAATGTTGTACTGCTTCCGATGTAAGTGTCCGCACATTTGGTTAAACTAAACTAAATTTATAAGTAAAATCACAATTGTATTGACAAAACTTGTTATGTCTATTGAAGACAGACCTCATGGATCAGTGCATTTACCCGCTCTGTCCGCTCGGCTTTCGTCAACTTCGGGTCCATTCGTAGTAAAGACTGTTAGAGAGAGAGAGAGAGAGAGAGAGAGAGANCTCTCTCTCTCTCTCTCTCTCTCTCTCTCTCTCTCTCTCTCTCTCTCTCTCTCTCTCTCTCTCTCTCTCTCTCTCTCTCTAACAGTCTTTACTACGAATGGACCCGAAGTTGACGAAAGCCGAGCGGACAGAGCGGGTAAATGCACTGATCCATGAGAGAGAGAGAGAGAGAGAGAGAGAGAGAGAGAGAGAGAGCTGTAAATTAATTGAATATTAAATAAAGAATAGGAGATAATTACGTTAAAGACGAGGTGCTCGCGAACGGTGAGCACCGGTACGAAAATGTCCAGTTGTTGTACATAAGAGGACACCGATGTAATGGTATTGGCGTCGACTGCCTGTCCATTGAGTCTAACGGTTCCCTTTACCGTCAATTTTGATAAGTTTCTGCCCGTCAAGACATTCAATAGTGTGGTCTTTCCGGCGCCACTGGAAATGTAACGCAAAGTCAATGCAAAATATAGTCACAAATTAACACAAATTATGATAAAACTATGTAATCAAAGCACTCATACCTCGCGCCCATTAAAGCCATCAGTTGGCCGGCATTTACTTCACCGGACACTTAAAACAAATCCAAATGAGTAAACTGTTAGAGACAAGAGTGTATTGTCTGTCAATACATACCATTCTTCAAGATCTGTATGGGCTGTTGAGTGGGCGCTCGGATGTGATAACACTTACGGGTGATCTGAGAATAGACATCAATGTTATGCCACGAAACCGAAACGGTCTGCTCGAGCGGCGGTAGAGTGACATTTGAGCCGTGACTGGCGTTACTGTCCGCCTCTCGTTTGACGGTAACTGTCCTCAAAGGGTCGCTCATCTGGTATTTGAATCTATGGTTTATTAACAATCGGTTTGCTATTCAATGATGTCTTGTTTGAGATAACGGTTGAAATGAATAAAATGTCACAAATAAATGTGGATTTGGTTTTTGAAATTACAATTATATTCTATATAAACATAAGATGTGTTGACTATAAAGTTAATTGTTGTAATATAACGGCTAAATAACTAGTTTATACTTAATGTTAACTTTTGGGCATTTGATTAATTAACGGGTTTTACTAACAAAACAAGTGTTCGTTCATTCGATTCCCGTTTACATAAAAATCGGGTTTAATTATTGGTTCCGTTTCAAACACTAGTCTCGCATTTTTTTAGCATATTGCAACAATTAAAATAGTTGCATCACTTTTTCCCGATGTCTAGTCATTACTTACTAGAAAACTATTGCTAAAAGTATTTAGTGTTAGTTGTATTAGTAATTTACAGTATTGTGTTTTGGAAAACTGTTTAGCAAATGAAATGCACTGTTAATTCAAAGTATAATTTGTATTATTTGAATCAAGTTGTTTAAATTGTTAATTATATTTCATAAAATATCACAAATTTAGCCAAATCTATCCAATCAGTATTTACAACCTAACAATATTTACAAAATTAAATAAACTAAGTTGGTCAATACGCGACAATTAATAAATGTTATTAAATTGACCATAAATTTGATGCATTTTATATTTCTGTTTAATATGTTTATATCAATGTATTTATCGGCCAAAACCATTGCTAAGTAATTAAATTGATTTACAAATGCTCTGCAAATATAGTAAAACTACTTGAATTACAGAAAATCAATTATTTTATCGATTCCCATAACAATCGGCAAATATATGATCGAAAAGCATATAAATCAACGCCAAATACAATCGATTGGGAAAAACGTTACATTAAAATCACAGCAATGGTTAAGAAATGCAAACATGTTTGACATTCACATGAATTCGGTTCAATAATCGGCAAATTATTTGTGAAATTACCTAAAAAACTATCAAAAATCCATTAAATTACAGATTACTTGTTTGGCATTCATTTCAATTGATAAAAGAAATCTCAAATGAATAATATTTTGTTTATAATGTTATATTTTTTATAAATACTAGTTTTAATTAAATTAAAATTTTATTAATAAGCAATACGTTAGAGAGATTTGATGTCATATTAAAAGTGAGAGAAACTGTGGAGGATTTGATGGCAGAATAAAATTACAACCGATTGAAAGAAATATAACACAAAAATCACAACAATTGCTATAAAATTTTATTTTGCAAAGAAATATATACAATATGAGAGAAAGTGTGATACAATATATACGATACAAGTATTTATAAATACATGCCTAAATTATTGTCTCAATATTAATAGCGATGTTAATGTATGTCCACTCGTATTGTTATTATCTCTCTCGGGATCTGATGAAGAGTGCGATGAATGCCATTAGGCGTAAGACAAGGGCCAGAATTACCATCAATATTAGGTTTCGTAACAAATCATTTTCATCGAAACTCAATGAATGAATAATATCCAGACCATCGCTAATACACTTGATAGGCATGTATTGACCGGCCGTACCGTTAATGGCCGGAGGGGTCGACGGGAATGCCGGGCAATCGGTGAGCTTCAGGTGTCGCCACTGATTGATGATCAATGAGGCGAAGCCGTAGTAAAACCATGAGATGTACTTAAACCACGACAACCACGAGGCGGTTGTACTGCAATTCATTACAATTTAAATGCATATTAAGTTTAATTCAATTCAAACATTAGTTAAGTTTTATGACTCTTATTACTCGGCATTGAGAAAGAATCCGCCAAACAGTACCACCGGTAGGAGTAGTGGCGGACCCAAAGACAGGGCCACGTTTGCCGATGAGGTGAGACACGACATGAAGTATCCTATTGTTTATAAATTGTAACGATATTTGCAATAAAACTATTTACGTAATGGTTTTTAATGTTATAATTACCAAAAGAGACGGCACATGAAGTGATGAGAATACCGATTAATATAGCGATCAAAAAGGCGCTGATATCTGGATTAAAGCCAACCATATAGTAGTAAATGCTGACAAATATCATGGGAATTAACAAAAAGATTGGCAACTATTGGAGCAAAAAATAACATTAGTTTAATAGCAATTAAATTACATGTTATATATAACACTCATACATCTGTCAGCGATTTGGATATGAAATAGACGTCCACTCTATACATGCCGTTGTGGTGTTCGCGAAAAAACAGCGGATTTTCCGCACAGAATGTCTGTAAAAGAACAGAATTTACAGAATATTCTGTGAATTTATAAAATGATAATTAATTTTTATTGCATACGTTAATGACAGCCATTGTGTTTTGAAACGACATGTTTGTGACCAATAAAAAGAGAGCGCCGTTGATATTCATCACCGATTTCTGGTCCAACTTCTGGTTCCAGTAAACAATCCCCACAATCACGGCTATCACCTAAACACACGGTTAAATCGCACGATAATTGACCATAATTTGTAAAACATGCATTTCATACGTACCACAGTTTGCAAGAGCCTAACCTGGCTAACAGCCGGTTCCCTCAGCACTACAAGCATACACCGCCACAACAGTGTCCGAAACTGTTGGCAATACGAGACCCGATATTTAGGCGGTTTTAACAACATATCGGCGTATGATTTGGGCTTTATTTCAGTGAATGAGTCCTCTCGGCCGGGGGTGGAGGGCGTCGACGCCTCCTTACGATCGCCATTCTGTCCCAATTGTTCACCGTTTTTGGTATAATTGTCACAAATCTCCTAATGTTTTAATTAAAAATTACAAATTATACGTATTTAAGAAATGTTTCTATCCTACATTGATTTTTGCTTTGCAATCATCCTCACGGCCCGGAATAATGGCTATAAAAACATATATAATTGCGATTAAAATAGTGTTAACTTTTGCACAAATTCAGTACCGAGTTGTTCAATGTAAAAATCAGCTGGATTGAAATTAGTGGGACATTTCTATGAATAAAAATAATGAAACATTATTTATAATCAATTCAATGTGTAAATAAATTTCACTAGCAATACATATCCCAACGATGAAAACGTATTCATGGCTTCGTCTATAGAAATACAAAATTTAAAAAAGGCATTAAAACGCCAAACATTGACACACTTTACCAATATTTCCCATATAAGCCACTCTTCCGTCGGCTATCAGTAAAAGTCTTTCAAAGAGTTTGAAGGCTTGAGACGAGGGCTGATGTATTGTGCAGATAATGGTCCGACCCTTTGCCGCCATTGCGTTCAATGTCTGTACAATATTTTCGGCCATAAATGAGTCCAAACCACTCGTCGGCTCATCACTGAAACATACAATTGTTAGTAAATTGTGGCTAAAGTATAACCAGTCTATAAGTCTTACCAAAACATAATCGCAGGATTTGTCATTAACTGAAAGTTAAAAACACAAACAATAGTTTAATATTTGTAGTGAAATGGATATACAGGTGCCTCACCTCAGAAGCAAAAGCCAGTCTCTTGGACTCACCACCAGATATACCCTTAACTGTTGTACTGCTTCCGATCCGAATGTCCGCACATTTGGTTAAACTAAACTAAATTTATAAGTAAAATCACAATAATTGTGATTTTATTGTATTGACAAAACAAAATAGATCTATTGGGGACAGACCTCATGGATCAGTGCATTCACCCGCTCTGTCCGCTCGGCTTTCGTCAACTTCGGGTCCATTCGTAGTAAAGACTGTTAGAGAAAGAAAGAAAGAAAGAAAGAAAGAAAGAAAGAGAGAGAGAGAGAGAGAGAGAGAGAGAGAGAGAGAGAGAGAGAGAGNAGAGAGAGAGAGAGAGAGAGAGAGAGAGAGAGAGAGATGTAAATTAGTTGAATAGTAAATAAAGAATAAGAGATAATTACGTTAAAGACGAGGTGCTCGCGAACGGTGAGCACCGGAACGAATAGGTCCTGTTGTTGTACGTAAGAGGACACCGATGTAATGGTATTGGCGTCGACTGCCTGTCCATTGAGTCTAACGGTTCCCTTTACCGTCAATTTTGATAAGTTTCTGGCCGTCAATACATTCAATAGTGTTGTCTTTCCGGCGCCACTGGAAATGTAACACAAAATTCATGCAAATAATCACAAATTAACACATATTGTGATAAAACTATGTAATCAAAGCACTCATACCTCGAGCCCATAATAGCCAACAGTTGGCCCGCATTTACTTCACCGGAAACTTAAAACAAATCCAATGAGTAAACTGTTAGAAACATAAGTGTATTGTCTGTCAATACATACCATTCTTCAAGATCTGTATGGGCTCTTGAGTGGGGCCAGGGTTACTTATTATCGACAGAATATTTTATGAAATTTTTTTATGTCAAAATTCACGCTAAAAATGTTACCTAACCTAACCTAACTTAACCTAAACATAACCAAACCAAATATAAGTTAGGTTAAGTTAAGTTAAGTTAGGTTAGGTTAGGTAAGGAATGTTTGGATTTAACTTTAAAGTCGAATATTTCGAAAACTATTCGACCTAAATAGATTTGGATTTCAGATTCGTGTTCAGCGTTAAAATCTACATTGAAATCATATAAGATATTAATATATTTTGCAAAAAACATTTTTTCGAACAAAAGTTCTAAGTCGAATAACTCGAAAAATATTCGAGATAAAAATATTTTGATTTCAAATTCGTTTTTACCGTGAAATTTGACATAAAAATAGTTCACAAAATGCTCCGTCGATAATAAGTAACCCTGGCCTTGAGTGGGCGCTCGGATGTGATAACACTTACGGGTGACCTGAGTATAGACACAGATGTTATGCCACGAAACCGAAACGGTCTGCGAGAGCGGCGATAGAGTGAACGGAACGGGAACGTTTTGAGCCGTTATTGTCCGCCTCTTGTTTGACGGTAACTGTCTTCAAATGGTCGGTCATTTGGTATTTGAATCTATGGTTTATTAACAGTCGGTTTGCGATTCAATGATGTTTTGTTTGAGATAACGGTTGAAATGAATAAAATTTCACAACTAAACGTCAATTTGTTTAACATTTACAGTTGTATTATATATATAATACCAATGGAGGCATGGCGTAGTGGTTAACGTCTGTGCCATTGTACCCAAAGGTAGCGAGTTCGAGACCGGGCCGGCCCACTGGAATCTTTGTCATGAAGATGGCACTGATTTCAGCGAGATAGTAACGGTCTGTGACAACTCTCGACCCCACCGGTGGTACCGGTAGACTGAGCCACCAGTCGTAATAGTTGTGCAATGTACGACACGTCCACCGTATACTCTGTATGATGTAGACGTTAAACATTGACAATTATTATTAACTCACTGACTGACTATCAATGAAGTGTTACATAATCTGGTGGCCAACCATTGGGCACAGAGTGAATGGACGTTAACCATGTAAAGTAGTTTCGCGTATTTAAATTCATGTATATTTTTAGTATACATTTAAATGATAGTTGTGTTGTGCAGAGGAAACAGTTGCCATTTCCCACGACATTATAACTCTTTAGAGTTCCTGTTTTTTGCCATATATTATAATACACTTTATAATAAGTAGTGAAAAATTACTTTACTATACTTTACATTACACTTCAGTAGTGAATATTTTCATATTGAAATATTTTTAAAACCCATTTGATATCCAAACAAATGTTTGAATAAATTATATAATTTTGTTCCACATTTTTAAGAGCCGTTTTTACAGACTATGCAACAAACATATGAATGAATACATTATAAGTGTTTTAATCATTAATTATAGTCATTTCAGTATTCATTGGACTCCCCTTTCTATTCGTTACAAAATAATTTACTGCTCTATTATAATAGAAAATCATTTCTCTTATCAGATGAACACAATTTTTAAAATATATAAATGATATTAAAATATATACACCTCTTGAATACCTGTATAATAAGTTACGTTATATACACACAGCGTATAAACGGTGTATGAAATTGTATGAAATTATATAATGAATTCACTTTCACTTCATTATAAATACGTTAATTATAAATGCAAACCACAGATACAATTGTCTGGTTGTTATCAACACTAACTTAACGTTTATATAGTGTACAGAAGTTTTTATTTATTATTTTAATTTTAAATAAATTATTGTTTGCATTTCAATAAAATAATTGCTTCACTCATAACTCTATGGGTGACAATGGATTGGGTGGAGAATTGTTATCATCTTTTTTTTTGTTTTCAAATATTTAAATGTGTATATATTTATAATATTTGTTCATTAAATAGGCTTATTATGTATTGCTCTGCTATTGTTATATACATTTCATAGGAATCATTCACTCATACAACAGCAAAAGTGTTTTTGATTGTATAATATTTGTTGCAAAAACAAATACAAGTGAAAACAACAGTCGTTTCAAATTGTTTTTAATTATTTTCACCTAATATTTAATGAATACATTAGTTGTCAGGAAAATAGACTTTTACGACATTCTTCTTCTCATTATAATATGGATTTTTTTTATTGCTATTAATTTATAACAAGAATTATATTTTTCAATATCCATAAGAAATTGTTTTTTCCTTTTAAAAAACATTATTTCATAACTATTTTCGACAAAATTCTCGATAAGAATCTACGAAATGGTGTGAAAAATATTTAACGCAAAAAATTGTCTTTTAATTGTCAAAGAATATGTATTGACTGACAGATACAACAACAACAACAATATCTCAATAGAAAATACATCTCAATAAATATCTCAAACAAAAAATATTCTGGACTTTGAAATTTGACGGCAAAAAAACAATTTCATTGACTTTTAATTGTTATTTCACTCTTAAAATCTGATAATAAGAAACAAAACTCTCTCTCTTCAATCAAAATGCTGTTTCCGTTCGTGTTTTTTATGAAAATTGTTTCATATTTGTTGTCGGGATTGTTATAATACAGTGCAAAGCCATGAGTGGTATCTCCATATACCTCTTGCTGTACTGTTATCTCATTTGCAATTATCAACTGAGATATCTCTTTGGCGAAAGGAAACAAAGGCATTGTATTGAATGGTATCCCAACTGCTAATAGTGTCGTATCGATGGCATGTCATTATCGACACAGAGATATTGAACAATATTGAGAGAGAGAGAGAGAGAGAGAGAGAGAGAGAGACTCGTCTTTTTCATATATTTAATGTCGAGTTTAACACAAGGACTGAACCGTCGTTTCTTATTATCAGATTTTAAGAGTGAAATAACAATTAAAAGTCAATGAAATTGTTTTTTTGCCGTCAAATTTCAAAGTCCAGAATATTTTTTGTTTGTTGTGTATTCGTTTTGTTGTAAAAATTTTGCTGAATTATAATAATAATGATCTGAACAGAGAGAGAGAGAGAGAGAGAGAGAGAGAGAGAAATGAGCAAGGCACATCTAGCATATGCATACACACTGTTGGTCTAAAGGACAGGCCAAGAGGTGACAGGTGTGCAGTGGTTCGTGGATGTGAACGACAGCTGCTCTGTATATCTTAGATGTCGAGCACTCCATACACACAACACACTCTCGCACTCCTGTAAACCGGGGCTAATATTACGGGCCGTTTGTAATGAGCGCTCAATACGCATGGGTCTGACCAAAGTAAAAAGTTAGCCGTTGCTAAGTTACCAACGCTATACAACACAACATTAACACTGGCAAAGCTGGCTCACAATATACTGGGTAAAAGCTTGTAGCGCATGGGTGGGGCGCAGGCGCGTAGTGTGACCAGGTTTTGGCTGCAATTATAATACAGTAGAAACTCGTATAGCGATTGTTGGGCACTGAAAAAGCGTCGGCCTGTCTATAGTTACCACTCGACGCTCGCAAACGCTAGGCTTCACGACGTGTGTAGAGTAAAAGCTCTTATCCATACATTTTCTTATATACCGAGAGTTTTTGATCTCAATATTATATATATACTCTCTTGTGTTATATACGCTTAACTCTAGCCTAAAAAGTTTTTGAAAAAATTATTTATCTTGTGCTTACGATTAATATATTTAGTTATTAACATCTAGATCATTTTTTCTTGTCTTATTTAAAGCAATCAAATCAAACGTTAAGACAATATATCGGTGGACACCGCAGAAGAAGCGAAGATAAAGTGCGAAGAGTTTCATATATATTGTGTTTCAAATTCATAGAGAAAATTGTATTGAAAAGTGAAACACAAAACTTAATTATAAGACAAACCCAAAAGTTTTTATTCATCGCTTGTGTTCACTCAACTCAACGCTAAACTTATTGCCGCTTTTGAAGTGCAAAAAGCGGACAACACTTTGACGACAATTTCATTAATAATAAAAATAATAACACTTTTGTTGAAAAGTTTTTCATTTTCAACACTGGTTTATGATCTCATAGATTGTGTGATCTCTCATCTTATCTCTCATATGATATGATGTTTTAATTGTGTTTTGATTTGTGAGACAAATCTAGTGATCTGTTTGAGTGGTGTTTTATGCGCTGATTATATCCATTGATTATATCATTATTATATTTATTATTACATTCTCGTCATTGGATGTGTTTGTGTGCCGTCGTATCGGTTATTATAAGCGGATTGATTGGCCATAAGTGATGGCCATCGGGAAGAGGACTAACCACACCATAACAGCCACAATGATATTGATTAGCAAACTATTGTTCGCCACTCTATTGATACTTAATTTACATCAAAATGTAAGTCAAATCATAATTAGTTTTTCAAATTTCATTTCATATTTTTTGTGCTGTCTTTTGACCAAAACTTTTCCCCCCCTTTTCTCTCACTATTTAAGCTTTTTATATGTATTTCAATTGAAAGCATGCTTTCATTGAAATAAAGCTTTTTTGCACTCAACTCTTATCTGGCATTCAAATCAATGCTCGCATTCATTCATTCATACATTCAATCAGTTATTCATTCATTGAATGAATTGTTTTAAGTTTTTTTTTCTGAGAAAACTTAAAAGCTTATGGTTTTTGTGTATCCAAACGGTGTGTTTGTATTAAGCCATGTGTCCGGACGACCACTCAATATAGACGTTAATCATTGAATTCATTTGCTTAACATTTGTCTTCACATGTCTAATGAAAGTCTTAGATAATTGTCATGTTTTATGCTAACCCACTGTCAATCCCCGCCCCCTCCACACCGACTCCCACGCGTTGTATCGCACTTTTAGCCCCCATTTCCCTCCCGATGTCTGTTTGCATGTATTTATTTTAAATTCAAAGTTTTTTATAATATAAATAAATAATATTTAGTGTTTAGTTTAGGGCTAAGAAAGATGTTTGTTATGTATAGAGAGAGCCGACCGACCATTCAATGGCTATTCAAATATTGGTTGACTTTTCTTATGGTCGAGAATAAAGTTTATTTTAATTCAATGTTTAAAACATTTATACGATTTTTTTCTTCTGCTTTTCCCATAAATAAAATCTTGTTTTTCATTCACTAATTAATTTCAAACTAAGATATTAAGTCTTCAGTGGTTTGACTGACAATAAAAAATATATCTTAAAGTATTTCGGAGGGGAGAGAGAGAAACAGGACTTCAATTAAAACAATTTTGACATAAACTGAGAGAATGTATAAAACAGTGTGTTTTTCTCATATATTTATATATAAAGTTATATTTTTTTAGTTGTATTGAGAAAACTATTTGAGAAACTATTTTCTTTCCCTTCAGTCGTCTCTGCCGTCCATTCGTCTAATTAGTGGTTAAAATATTTTATCAAATATTTTCGATCACTATTTGTGTCGCTATTTAAAAGTCATTCAAAAACCAATAGCAAAATATATACAGAAATAAATAAAAACTATTTTTGTGTTTCAAAAGATCTCTTTGAGAGACAATATCTCATAAGAAAAAA